TGCATGCGGCCTTTTCCGAGAGCTATGTCTCAGCCTACGGATCGGTTCTGGGTCTTTGGTGTCCTAAGGCTATGGGCCCTTAACGTCACCTTGGGCCTCATCGAAGCCTGGCCAAGCAAACAACATAAATACATGCGTACATACATACATGCATACATACATGCATACGTACATGTATAGATACGTACAGGCATACTTGCAAACTTTCTGACAAACATTGTGACAAACATACCTAGCTACCTAGCCACCCACCCACATAGCTACCTAGCACCCAGCTACCGAGCTACCTACCTGCGTGCCGGCCTACCTACCTACCTACCTACCTACCTACCTACTTACCTACCTACCTACCGACCTACCTACCTACCTACCTACCTACCTACCTACCTATGTACATACATACGCAGGTACGTACACACACACATACATGCATGCATGCATGCATGCATGCATGCACGGGGACATGCATACATGCAGCCACACATATGTACATACATACTGGCACTGCATGCAACCATGCATGGATACACACATGCATGCACACATGCCTTGCATGACATTGCGCTGCCACACATAGCACTACATCACCGTGCAGTACTGTACCGTACAGTGCAGTATGGCACAGTGGTAAACAAGCTTGCGTATGTATGTTCTGTAGGATTGCAAGTATGTCTGTATGAAACAGCGCGCGCGAATCCACGTCGTATGGCATGCGTGTCTGCGCGCGCCTTGGATGCATAATTACCGCAGTCTTCTTGTAGCACATGCTCTGCCAACTATAAGGCCAGGTCGGAGACGCACCAGTGCGGGTCTGTTGCAGGCGGGCCAGCAATGAATTCCTGCTACCTACAAAGGAGGATAGGCTCCCCCCGAATCGTAGAATAATAAACACGGAAAATGATCAACAATAGTACTGGGCTGCAACAACTGGAACAGGATTTTAGGGATTCTGAGCCACATGAAACCGGGAACCTAGAAAAAACATATATAATCCCAAATAGTCTAGGTGGAAGCCTTGCATCCAGCGAGCACGCTGAATATCTGCCTCCTGACTTGCTGTGGGAGCATTTCTTGGCTTAGGGTTTTGGTCACGGCATCGGAGATTTCGGTCCGCAAGCTGAAGAAGCCCTATCATCCCAGCTGCATTCCGCGCAGCCCCCACTGCAAGTATGCAGCTACTACTGCACACTAACTGGGGAGGGTATTATAGGGGGCAATAATTAGAATAGGGTTTTGGAGTATATTACACTATAACTATTTTAAAAAGGAGCCCTTGAAATAGTATTGGTAATTATTTAGGCCCCTACATTAGGACGCTGGATGCATCGACGTGGCTGGGAAACCCTCACCCGACCGCCTCAAGATGCCGCTGGGCCTGGGAACCACACGACGAGCTACTTTTTTTGCGCCAGCTCCTCTAACATAGGGGCCTTTATAATGCCAAGACTATTAATTAGGGTTCCTTCGAATACCTCTGGTATATCATGCACTTGAAACTACCCATGAACCTCCAAGTACCGAAGCCCAGCAGTCTACTTGGAGGTTCATGGGTAGTTATAAGTGAGGTTATAAGTAAGGTAACTATACTTATAACCCATATTAGGGGACTTATAACCCCACTTCTAACTACCCCTAAACCCGAAACCCTAAACCCTACAGAACCCTTTAAAGGAACCCCATAAACCCTACTTATACTCTTATAACTACCCATGAACCTCCAAGTATTGGGCTACCACCGGCCAGGAGCTCCGTGGCTTCAGCGGCAGCTCGAGGGCCGAGTGCGCGCTTGCGCCAGCATCTCACTTTGCGGCCTGGCCGTAACATGGCGTCCCGTTCTGTGCGAAATCCAAAGGGTCCAAAGTACCTATATGGTAGAATGTAGGGTTTCTATAGTAGGAATTGTTACTATGATTTGGGAAAGTATCCCCCATAACAGAACCTAGGACCCTTTGGGAAAAGCAGCTTTAGAGTTCAGAGTCTGGCTCTTGGGGCTGGAAAAGGTGCGCAAACGGGGTAAAGACAGATTTTTTGAAAAGCTCAACTTCTCCGGGAACGCTTGAGTTAAGTTAAGTTGCCGTCGTTGTGGTCATACTAGCAGCGGTGGCCGTCGAAGTATTCTCATGATCGTAGTGTTCGTCGTCGTTCTTCGTCATCAGCAGCAACAGCAGTAGGTGCCAGGGGTGAAGCTAAGGATCTTCGAGTGTCTTGTTTGAAGAATACGCTTCGTGGTTAAGGGTCCCAGAACTGCCGGACAGAATCCAAAAAACAACGGAGACAATAAGAAGCGCCTGGTATGGACACTGACGGCACGAAAGCTCTAAAGGCGGTAACGAGAGACCTGCTTTGTTGCTTTATTCTTCTTTGGGGAGTTTCCAATTTCAGCTGAGGGATGGCGCTTGACCGGCTCATTCCCAAATTTGTAGGATCTAAGGAACTCCGGTAACCAATAAGGATGAAGCTTGATCTGAGGGTTTGAGGTTGAAGACTCATGAAAAGCCTGCTGCCCATCCCTCTCTGCACCTTGCGCGCATCTTCTTCCCGCTTCTCTCGGTTGACACGCCTCATCGTTGATAGGTGACAGCATGTGCAAAACACAAGTCAAAGAGCTCAAGCATTTCAACTGCAAGTGGCTGCAAGTGCTACACCGGAGGTCCTGTGAAGCCTAAGCCCTCCACGCGCTGAACCCCTCTAAACCCCAAGCCCTGAACAAGTGATCCAAGTCCGGCACATAGCATCGCGTAGACCGGCGCGGTCTTCGTCGCTGGCATTTTTGTACATGTCGGCCAAGAGCTCCTCTCAGCGGTTCGGGTTTGGGGCTTGTCATATGGGTAGTTCTCTAAGTTAGGGTCTCTTCTTAGGTCCGGCAGCCTGGAAAAAAGGACCCTGAAAGGGATTCTCTTTAGAGAACTACCCATATGTGTCTTCCAGTATGTATGTGTTTGGGGGCTTTAGGAAAGTCTAAATAATCCCACGAACTTTCGCTGATTCTTACATTGAGAACCCAGCCAAGACGTTTTGGCTTACATGTGATCCTGAAGGTATCGTGACAACCACATCTGGGGAAAAGGCGAGCGAATCAACAGACTGACCCTCATTGAGCCCCACAGCGTCTTGCACATTGAAAAACGGATTGCTTGTCGAAAAGGAACATACCATACTGCCCATAGTTAAGGTATTTTAGGTAATCAAGGAAATTCTCCGCCAGCAGTACCAGAGCCTACTTCGTGAGGCCTTCGATTCAACTCCACTAGCTAGAGTAGGTTGCAGCGCGCTCAGGCTTACAGTTTGCCTTTGGTTGCATAAGCCCCAGTAAATTATGACAGATCCCTACCTCCTCCAGGGCATTTGCTCTTGCGTTCAAGGACCAGGGTTTAGCTTCTCCGGACGACGTGTTTAGATACTAACTCTACGGGCTTGCCCTACAGAAACCCTACAGTGCCCCAGAAAGGTTCCACACCCTAAACCCTAAACCCTAAACCCTAAACCGTCTTGTCCTCGGTCGTTGCGCCCTTGAGGTCTCCGTGCTGGATACCTCTGGTTTGCAATTGGCTCCCAAACTTCCGAGCACTGAACCCCAAATCCTGCGTCCCAGAAGACCTAGTAATCTCAGGAGGATGTTGGGATATGCTTTTCTGCTTCCATGTCACATGCTCTTCAGGTACTTCTGTGAAAAAAACAACGTAGTTTTACAGCGAACAAGAATCACTATGGCGTTCTTCTAAGGGCGAAGGCATGAGTGAATTGAACAGTATGTGGACAATAACAACAGTACGCGACAAGGAGGATATAATACACACAAAGACACTTTTCGAACATACGTTCTAGAGCCCCTTATCTTCGAGACCTCCATCACGGGCTGATTTCACGCACATGGACCCCGCCACCGAAAGTAAGCCGGCGGCGATATTCTCGCTTCCGCTGGTACCTCCGGGATCAGTTCGACACGAGATTCAAGGAACCAATGTTCCTATAGAAACAGGATATGACCCCTGGTCCATTTGCCTTTTATTCTAAGCTATCCTGGATACTCTAGCTAGCCTAAATTCAACAGCTGAGACAAGCAACAAAACATGAGATTTCCAGGCCTTGCCTCGAGACCTAAAGTGTGAGTCATGCTGACACCCAAAAGAATAAGGACCGGTTTAGGGTTTGGGGTTTAGCGTTCAGGATTTAAACCTCTAGACTGCATACTACTTTTCGAGCTCCAATCTGAAAATGCCCCTCCCTGCAGCTTCGCCTGTCTTTCTCATCAGTCAAGTCTGACCAGCCTCGAGTGCAATCCGATCATCCCTATGCTAATCGTGAAAACAGAGGGAGCCACCCACCGCTGGGTGGTGGTGGTGGTGGTGGTGGTGGTGGTGGTGGTGGTGGTGGGTGGTGGTGGTGTTGGTGGTGGTGGTGTTGGTGGGTGGTGGTGGTCTTGGTGGTGGTGGTGGTGGTGGTGGGTGGTGGTGGTGGCGGTCGTAGTAGTAGTAATAGTAGTAGTAGTAGTAGTAGTAGTAGTAGCAGAAGTAGAAGTAGTAGCAGTAGCAGCAGCAGCAGCAGCAGCAGCGGCAGCAGGAGGAGGAGGAGGAGTAGTAGTAGTAGAAGTAGTTGTAGTTGTAGTGTAGTAGTAGTAGTAGTAGTAGTAGTAGTAGTAGTAGTAGGACAGTTACCCACGTGTGATTAGCAACAACAGCGCTGACTAGCCTGTCGAGTCGGCGCCTCTACAACCATAGGCATGATCGTCATCATACCCTCCAAGACAATAGCGATAATTACTGCCATGAGCTTCTTCGTGGTACCAGGCGATCGAAGCATTCACACCAATAGCTGCCCACATCCTAAGCCCCTAGAGCATCAACCCTACACCCCCAACCTTGCACCCAGAGTGCTAAAGTAGGGACCGCAAGTTGAGAGTAGTGCCTACTTTGTAGGAGGGGATACATTAGGGAACCCGTAAAGGCTACCCAGATATATTATGCCCAAGCGCCGTTAGTAATGTCATGCAGCCCAGCAAGGTGGAGGCATTGATGAGCTCGGCCAAGGCGGAGGCCAGAAGGCATTGAGGTCATGTCGGATTTGGCGTGTGCTTGGAGGTTCACGAGCGAGCACGACTGCAGTTATAAGTCGGATAACGAAACTTATAACCCAAAGTAAGGGTTTAGAACTTAGGAAGGGTTATGGGTTGCTTCAAATTCGGGGTCGTGAAACGGGGATTTGGTCTACCTGATCCTGCCAGGCAGGGCAGTCGGCCCCTAAGAACGGTTGAGGATTGGGGTCATGTATACTAGGACCACAAGGCCGGTTTTGAAGGGGTCTTGGCAGCAGCTTCGCGTCACACCACAAGACGGGTTTAGGGTTTAGGTTTAGGGTCGTAGCACATGCTGCATCTGATTGCAGCCGATAGATGCTAAGCTTATACGCCCTGCCCCCGGTGGTTGTAAACGTCCTGAAGCAGTTCATCTATAGAAGTCTGGGCCGACATCACGTATGTGGGCTTTCATCAGGCCGAAGTTATACCTATAATTACACACACACACACATATATATATATAGATATATCTAAACATATGTATACATATATATATATATATATATATGTATACACACATATATATATATATATATATATATACATATACACCGTTTTTCAAGCAAAGAGTTTCTAGGAACCCTTACAGGAACCCATATAATTATATGAGCCTGTCTAAGAATACGCAGCTTCCGCAAGGCACTGGGCGCGTCACTGCCGTCACTACATGGTGCTTGGGATGACGATGCCCGGGCGTCCGCAGCCCCTCGGAGCTGCGCAAGTCTTATTTTGGGTTTAGGGGTTGGGGTTTGGGGTTTAGGGTTTAGGGGTTTAGGGTTTAGGGTTTAGGGTTTAGGGTTTAGGGTGTTGGGTAATGTGGGTTTGAGGGTTGCCGTAAGGGGATGATAGGACTTTGCAGGCGAGGGGTTGGGGTTCTGTGTTCAGGGGTTGGCGGGGGTTAGAGTTGGGTTTAGGGTTTAGGGTTTAGGGTTTAGGGTTTAGGGTTTAGGGTTTATAAGGTTTTGAACCCATAGAGCCTTCGTAAGAACCTACAGACTCTAAACCCAAACCCCAAAGTCCTACTGCAAAGCCTTTCTAAACTATCACCAAGATAGGGTTGGAGTGCAGGAGGCTAGTAGGTTCCAGCGGTCGAGGACACAGCAGTTCGTCCGATTGGCGATTAACCCTAAACCCTAAACCCTAAACCCTAAACCCTAAACCCCCAAACCCTAAACCCAATCTGCTCCGCCCTCGACCCTCTGAGCTGGTAGACCAAGATGAGAAGCAACTTAACCCTGAGGCTGTGTTGCTTCGGCCGACGCCCGATGGGCTGGCGTCCTGGCCCGTCCCAGCCTGGGCCCAAGCACCAGTGGGTAGGGGTTTGATTAGAGTCTAGAACTCGCAATCTGAAGTTCTTCATCCGAATCCCGGGAAAGCCTTGGAGGTTGCTTATAGCAGGAAGTGACCATGGACTCTCCCCGCGAATATCTAAGTCTCTAAACGGTCAATCCTAGCTCCAAACTCTCAGACCTCGAAAGATCCTGAACGATAGACGCCGAAAAAACCCCAAACCCCAAGCCCTAAACCCTAGACCCTAAGCCCTAATCCCTAAACACTAAGCCCTAAACCCTGAACCCTGAACTCGCTAAACCCTAAACCCTAAACCCTACCCAGGTCCTGGCTCCAGTGTTGGCAGATCTCGTGCGCCACGGTGCATCAGGCGGCAGCGACGAAGCCAAGCCCCTGAAGCCTTCCGTAAACTCGAGCTTCACACTCTAGAACCTGACGGTTTAGGGTTTAGGGTTTCTAGAACTTAACTGTAAGAGTACCACACTCGATTCATCCCAGGCGCCGGTTGCAGAGTTCTGAACCCCACTCCCTGGACAAGCAACAGCTTGGCTGAGGATTGAAGCATTGAGACTGGGGTTGATCGTTCTTTCCGGACAGAGGACGACGGAATTGGCAGTGTGAAATGTACGAATCAGGGTCAACTCGTTGACGATATGCTAACCTCTACCTAACCCCTAGAAAGCCCGTCTTTTGGTGGTTCCTGATGATGACTTCCGGAAAAATCCCCTGAAAAGAAAGATTATTTCCTGGTACAGCTTGAACGTAAAACCAGACAGTATACATATACATACATATATA